GAGGAATTACTGCGAAAGTTTATTCCATGGTCACAATGTATATTGACAAGACGTTCTTAATATGATCAGTGTCTGATAATAAGAATCACGTACCGAGATAAAAGCAACGTCATAATAAAACACTTCAGACATCCAACACACAAAGGATACTCCAAGTATAATTTTCTATTTCTTTATTTGGTTATCGTGGAAACCAATGTAAACTTTGGATGGAATCTTGTGAACAAACAAGAATGAACTCCCTTCAAGGTGTTTGGTGAAAACGACAGTGTACATTGACTGTCACCAAACCTTAGAAATAGTGGCGTACTTCTAACTCATGTAGACTTCGGAAGACTTTTTAAATATCCTCAGCTTTTCGATTTGAAATCTGCAAAAGAAACATCAGTAATGGGCATTTTCAAAATGGACGCCATGGCGGCCATGTTTAAATCAGATCGTAACTCTGTGAGCCATCTTTGAGACCCCACAGATAGGATCCTTACATACAAAGTTTCATCGCTATAGACCTTGCTATTTCAGAAGAAATGTAAACAGTGCACATAGAACTGTCCGTTCGACACATCAAACTTTGACATAACGGTGTTTGACAGTAAGTATAAGTATCCATGGAAATTCACACATGCACTCATGAGCATTTGTAGGCGTTTATAGGCGGACTTTACCACAGGTATTCACTTGTCCATGAGCATTGGTAGGCATTTATATAAGCAGACTGTTTACCACAGGTATTCACTTGTCCATGAGCATTGGTAGGCATTTATATAGGCAGACTGTTTACCACAGGTATTCACTTGTCCATGAGCATTGGTAGGCATTTATATAGGCAGACTGTTTACCACAGGTATTCACTTGTCCATGAGCATTGGTAGGCATTTATAGACAGACTGTTTACCACAGGTATTCACTTGTCCATGAGCATTGGTAGGTGTTTATAGGCGGACAGTTTACCACAGGTATTCACTTGTCCATGAGCATTGGTAGGCATTTATATAGGCAGACTGTTTACCACAGGTATTCACTTGTCCATGAGCATTGGTAGGCGTTTATAGGCAGACTGTTTACCACAGGTATTCACTTGTCCATGAGCATTGGTAGGCATTTATATAGGCAGACTGTTTACCACAGGTATTCACTTGTCAATGAGCATTGGTAGGCATTTATAGACAGACTGTTTACCACAGGTATTCACTTGTCCATGAGCATTGGTAGGTGTTTATAGGCGGACAGTTTACCACAGGTATTCACTTGTCCATGAGCATTGGTAGGCATTTATATAGGCAGACTGTTTACCACAGGTATTCACTTGTCCATGAGCATTGGTAGGCATTTATAGACAGACTGTTTACCACAGGTATTCACTTGTCCATGAGCATTGGTAGGTGTTTATAGGCGGACAGTTTACCACAGGTATTCACTTGTCCATGAGCATTGATAGGCGTTTATAGGCGGACTGTTTACCACAGGTATTCACTTGTCCATGCTCAAGTCAAACACACTCCAAGAAAGTCTCTTACGTCACTATGTTTATAGAGTAGAGATATCTAACACTCACTTCACCTCCTTGAGGAGATCGTCTCCTCCATTTAGACGTACAGTGAATGCACATTTATAGCTTAGCACGCCTTATGTTCAGGGGTCACAGCCTTAAATACATTGAATTGCATTTCATTTTACAACCGTCACATTTCTCACACTCAAGCAGAAGTGCACAGGTGAGACACACACAGTACACTGTGATCGTGGGTTTAAATACCTGATACGCTCATTTTATATATACTACTCACACATGCTAAGGATCACAAAAAATCACTTTACTTAAACGTAGATTTATAATTTGAAATTGTATCCATTTAAAACTGGATAAGTAATGATATGGTAACCACCATAACAGTCTCTTTAATCTAACCTTATGCACTTGATACATGAGCAATCATAAAAATGGTTTTCATGGCACCAATCAACCATTTTGCAAATCATGGAACGAGTCATTGACAAGTACACAACACCTGTCAATAGCAGGTATGGGATCCACTAGATGAAATGACATACTGAAACTTAGGATCCATGCTTACGATAAGCTAAGATATTCAAACCAAATTTGAACACACATCATAGTTTTCTGTTGAATCCATGATTTGATCCTTAGCAAAGTGTGAATAGTATCTGTTGCAGGTTTGTCAGTGCTTTGTGTGATTGCTGTACGTCAAATCGGGTATTCCTCTCACATGAAACTGGGGTAGCCTAATTAATGGTTAAAGCGTTTGCTCGTCATGCCGAAGATTCCCCACATGGGCACAATATGTGAAGCCCATTTCTGGCGTCCCCCGCCGTGATATTGCTGGAATATTGCTAAAAGCGGCGTAAAAACCATATTCACTCACTCACTCACAACTGACAAGCTGTGATATCTGAAATACTATCCATGGCAGAGTTAGGCCAATCCCACTCAGTCACCAGTTAAATGACACGCCACATAGAGTACCTCAGGCCTGCATGCTTGCTTTCAAACTAAACTTTAAAATTCCGTAACTGTCGTTATTTTACTAAAGCCTAATGGCACAATGTGTTAAGCCCATTTCTGGTGTCCCCCGCCGTGATATTGCTGGAATATTGCTAAAAGCGGCGTAAAACTTAACTCAGTCAGTCAGTTACTAAAGCCTAATGCTGCCACCTTTGCTACGTAAGTTATGTTTTGTCAGCAACATTTCTCGCCCTTTCGAGTATTTCCTCGTTATTTGAGTTATTTTCTCGAAAATGTGAGTATTTTTTCGCTATTTCGGCTTACTTCTCATTACGTAGAGTATTTTTTGGGTTATTTCAAGTTTCTTTCAAAAACTTGAGATTTCGTATTTTTTAAAAGAAAGATGAAATAACAAGAAAATATAAGTACCAGGAAAATACTTAAAATTCGGAGAAAATAATGGTGGCAGAATGTTTCTATACTATAAAACCTATGCAGTACCATTAGGCTTTTGTAAATGGATGTTATCATAACAGTGTACACAATCAAAGACATTTTATGCATAGATGTCACGTGAACTATTCAGATATCAAGGGCGGGTATACGTAGTGTCGAGTCGTACAAACCGGAGATATAGGAATCGATACAAGATATGTATGTTTACAGTATACACAATCAGTCTTATATGTGTATGGTGGACTATTCAGATACTGTAGCGATTCTGACGAACATTGTGGAGCGAGTCTCTGATGTTTTACGTCAGAATAACTTTCACAATGCCAGAACTCCGGCGTCATATACAACGAAACCAACATCTGGGATTGTGTCGTATGTGTGTCACACCAATATCGATTTCAAATAAGAGAGTTGCTTTGCATTAAAATTCAATCTTGAACCTATGCCGTGCCCTTAAACCTACTGTGGCTCTACATACGTAAGTTGAGGGTAACAACACAGTGGCCATATTATATATGGACGTGTTTGTAAAGGCAAAGAGAGAGAGAGAGAGAGAGAGAGAGAGAGAGAGAGAGAGAGAGAGAGAGAGAGAGAGAGAGAGAGAGAGTCGAAATTTTACTTGTTCCCAGAACACAAAATGCTTTGCGTGCACAACACGATGGTAAAGTAATGTAGATGTATTTGTGTGAAACACGCAACAAACCGACAAATGGCAAAAATGAGCCTTTGGATAACGTTTGCAAGTTTCGGGTCCAATCAAATTGTAAGAGTATAGTTTCTCTTGTTTCCTATATCTGCATCTGGCCCTAACTGTATCCTCTCTACCAATGCTTCTTTTCTAACGTGCCTGCCAGGAAAATCGAAAATCTCAGACATCGTTTAAACACCAGTCCCTCTTTTAGACACGATATTCATGTATACATATAAAATGCACTCTTCATTGTACAAAAGCTAACTGCATCGTATTACCGGTCTACCGTAAGCCGCAATAGGCTGCGCATTGTGAGATCTTTTTCTGAGAACCGGTATACTGGGTAAAGAACATCTATGAAGTTTTTGTGATTATCTTTATGGTTTAAATTAAAATCAACGCGGTGTAATACTTTACATTATATAAAGATGAAACTAGAATCCCTGAAAATGCAACCTAATTTTGAGTATACTGTTACTAGAAGAATAACATATATTTTTAGAGACTTCTAATGTAGAAAACAGGATCAGTTAATGTCACTACCATGTACAGGTAATGTCACTAACTGTCAAACACTTAAGCTCCCAATCTATCGCAATACGGGTACCTGAATCGCAATATAATGCAATACAATTTATTTGTCAACACACAGCCCTAAAAAATTTAGCCTCGCTACCATCTATAAAAATATATTGAAGGAAAATAACAAAGAAATGAAAACTAACAAATTTGCTTTTTTATCAATCGCTGTTATCATATAAGCTCGTGTTTTATGATTTAACACTGTCATGTTTTCAAACGAGTAATTTATATTTGCCTGCCTATACGTTCATAAGGTACCAAGTTTCACTCAGATCAATAAATTCCAACAAATCTCCTGATGTAATGGAATATGTTAACATAAGAATGTAATATGTCGCTGCAATACACTCTTTATATGGACAAAGTATGGACACGAACTTGATCCGACACAATGTCTGAATTATTCCAAGCTTGATATAAGAAATGATTTATGTATGCTTGATCGCCTTCAATAATAGGGTATTTAAAAGGTAATAACTTCTCAGCCGTGGTTTTATTAACAGGCGCCGGTGTTGAATGTTTTCAATTGTCCTATACTCTTCGATAGGTATTGGTGTCAACATCAATGGCGGGGAGTCCGTGTATTGGGGGTTTCTGAAGAGCTTGATTTGAATAACAAAAAGCTTGGGGCTAGTCATGTCTACAACATCAACGAAGTAACTCCGAGATTATAATTTGCTCTGCGAAAATATAAAAAATGAGGAAATGATTGGTTATTGATCTGCGTTCATGGATCAATCTGCCGGGTGGCAAGCAGGTGGCTTGGTGTTGCTATGTGACGTCACTGGGTAAGCTCCCTACTCGTGAGGTGTTCTCGCGAATTCAGCATGGCCGCGAGCTGAGTGTAAACATTGGATGAGAGACGTTGGGATATATGGCACATTTCCCAACCTTGATCAGGTAAAACAAATGAGTCTTGTTTGAAACTGAAACACAGAACATTTCATAGATAGCGACATTTATGCATGTCTACAACTGTCAGGCCCGCGGGACGGGTGTTTTACCGTTAGATTGTGTCATATGGCTCTCTATGCCATGGTAGGTGAAATATACCTGTCTTAATCTGCCTGCGTAAAGTATGGGGCGATCACTCAATCTGTCTTGACTCTATTTTCGTGTTATCAACCGCGAAAATATATTTGCAATTTACTGTTAGAGAAGTTACTGCCTAAAACACCTACTTGTATGGCTGGTATATGAGTTAAAGGTCACACTATGAACTTTTTATGGGTGTGTTGATATCCCAAGATAAAGAAAATTAATTAGACCAACATATAAATGAACTGATAGAAGTCTTTTGAAATAGTTAAACTTTTTAAGAGATATATTTCGTTTAAAAAAATCGAAATAAGAAAAGTTAAAGGAATTAATTTCTGAATTTAGAATGTTATTAGTTTAATTTTGTTCCATTTATGCATTAAAGGAATACTGTATATATATGCTTTGGATAATCATGTCTATACAGAGCTCCAGATAAGATTTAGCTCATGTGGGTACTGTACCCACTGTATTTTTTTGGAGTGGGTATTATGAATGTTGAGTGGGTATTTCATTTTCCGTTACCCACTGCTTTCAAATATGTGCGTATTTCAGTCATTTTACTCACCTAAGTATTATGTCATTGAGTAAGTTTACTAAGCAGGTATGTTCTGCCTTATGTCATACCTAATCAAAACCAACTTAAATATAATGGAAATAATTTCATAAAAAATCACTCATCCTATACTGACAGTACAACACTTGTCCTATACTAACAGTACAACTTGATAGCAATCGATGTCTTTTTCATTACGCAAGCGATTTTTATACATATATTCCGTACGCATTTGTTTTAAACTTTTTGCGTATCTAACATTTTAAATGCGTAATTGGTACGCAACAATTATTTTTCAATGCGTAATTGGAAATTTTATATGCGTATTTTACCCGGATACGCAGCTAATCTGGGCCTCTGTCTATATGACAGTCTTAGCACGTTTAACTGAAGTCATTCAAACATGTTTGTCTTTAAGTCCAGGTTCCATTTCCCACATGGTTGCAATGTATGAAGCCTATTTCTAGTACTGTTATGTTGCTGGAATATGGCTAAAGACGTAATAAAAACATATGTACTCACTGTAACTTTAATGGTATAATGTCTGTTATCAACCATAGATCAGTGGTGGGGGGGTAAACCGTTCGCTAGTCATGTCGAATACTCGGGTTCGATTCCCCACATGGGTTCAATGTGTGAGGCCCATAAGCCCATTTTTCATGTCCCCTGTCGAGATATTGCTGTAATATTGCTAAATGTGGCGTAAAACTAAAGTCACTCTCTCACTCAACTGTAGATGCTAATGATTACATGTGTACACAAAGGCAAAGCCTCAGTCTTTCTGGAGCAAAGACAGTGCAAGATTGCTAAAAGTGGCGTAAAACTAAAGATTGCAAAAAAGTGGCGTAAAACTAAAGATCTAATGATTACTGTCTCTCAGTCTTTCTGGAGCAACTGCAAGATGCTAATGATTACAATGTAGATGCTAATGATTACATGTGTACACAAAGGCAAAGCCTCAGTCTTTCTGGAGCAAAGACAGTGCAAGATTGCTAAAAGTGGCGTAAAACTAAAGTCACTCTCTCACGCAACTGTAGATGCTAATGATTACATGTGTACACAAAGGCAAAGTCTCAGTCTTTCTGGAGCAAAGACAGTGCAAGATGTAGGAGGGGTTGGTGAAGAGTTGCATTTCGGTATTGTATCCTCTCCCACATATGTTAAGATATCCTTTCAACCTTTTGTCAGTTTGTGATGATGGTTAATTTATATTGTGACTGGCTTTATGTGCCCCATTTTAAAACCTTATTAAGCCCTGGGCACCTCTCATTTAACCAATAATACTTAGACCTAAACTGGACCTGCTCAACAGACCATGCACCATAAGCCCCAGGTAAAGACCGACATGAAAGTGGATTATTTTAAGCTCTGTAGCTAAGGCCTTACTAGACATATTATGTGTTTATGACTGTCACCTTTATATAATAAAAATTATTTTGTCGACAAGTTTTACCATTATTTATGATAATGCTGGTTTGTACATAATTAGCTGGTTTGGTTTGTTGCTTAACGCCTCACCCATCAATATTTCAGCTATATGCCTGAAATATACCTAAACGGAAAGATTCCTAACATGTAAGGCTATAATAAGGATTAAGAAAAAAAGTTTCCTTATATTTCCTTATGTATATTCCATGTGTAAATCATTTTTCAGGACACTCCAATTAAATGCATGTTGTTGTATATCAGAAATAAGAGGAATAAATATGTCGGCAATACCAATTTCTTTCTTTGTTTTACTGACAACCTTATGCTACCAATGCCCCCAAATTCAGAAATACAGTGGAAACCTGATAAGTAAAATTTCAAGGGACCCGCCAAAATTATTTACTTATCAGGTATTTTACTTATCCAAACTTATAAAAACTGGCAAATGACAACCATATGCATGTATATGTTATATGTAACAATGAACAACTTATCAGGGCTGGCCTCCAGTTGTCAGCGTATTGTCAACTGCATGACACCAGCGAGGTGTAAGTAGGATGTTTGTTTGACTGGAGACTGACACGACTGCCCCTCATGTCGGATTATGTGGTGATCGCTAATTTAGTTATCCAGTCTCTTTTGTTAAGTAATTTACTTCCAGGGACCGTGAGAAGACGTTTAGTTAAGCGGTATTGTTTACTTATCCGAGTTTAGTTAACCGGACACTAATAGTGATAATTAATGAAGAAATTTGCCGGGACCAAACAATAGTGTTTACTTATCCGGTCTGTTTAGTTAAGCGGTCTTTACTTAGGCGGTTTCCACTGTAGATTAATTAAAAACATCATTTGATTGGCATACTCATTTGATCATCTTTGTGTATAGGACATTGACTTATTTCTCGGAACGTATCATCTAACCAATCCTGAACAGGTTTATTCTAGTGCTTTCTTTTAGGTATAATAATCTTTATTTGCACTGAGAAGGCCACAGGCCTATAGTACATAAAGTTATGTTACATTTGAGAGGAATTTAGATCGGGTAATCATAGCATAGTAAATGAACATTGAAATATTTTGTAGAAGAACTGGATTTTTACTACTTAACAATGAGGAGAATTTTATCACATTTGGATGGACATAGTAATATCTTTTAATATATTTTGTTCGCAACCGGTCATAAAATGGACATATTAGGAGAAAATGTAATTCATCTTCTATTTCGTTTAAATTACAAAGTGTACATATTCTATTTTCTCTTTTTACATTTATATATCTGCCTCTTTCAATCAACAAATCATGAGAAGAGCATCTGAATCGTGCCAGTGCTATTCTAAACTTTTTAACATTAACACAGGATAGATATGACTCAAGAACTATGGCATTTTTAAACAATGGATAATACATGCATTTATTTGATAAGGATATCCTTTCACTCCATATTTGAATATACATATCTTTTAATCTTGTCGTTAAGGATTGTATGAATAACGTAGGTGATTCGACATATTGTGTATTCCATGTAATTCCAAAACCAATAGAATATAAAAAGTTTTTTACATTAGTTGCCCAGTTCTTTTGTCCACCTTTATCATATAACAACATCATATTATAACACTTCTTGGGTAAGCGATTTGAAGGCATAATCAGCAGTTTTAGCCAGTACTTAATAACTTTAATGTTTGTAAGAATGTGCATTGGGTACCTACCGCATTCACCATAAATCACTGCGTTAATAGTGTTAATTTTAACTCCGAGGAACTTTTTGTATGCATATAAATGGATTTTTTCAATTTCGTCAAATTTTGTTATTCCCCAAATTTCGGCCCCATATGATAAAATTGGACTGACTTTGGCATCAAATATTTTAAAGAATGAAGAGTAGTTAATATTACCAAGTATACTCAACTGTTTCATAATTCCAATTAATGCTTTTTGTCCCTGTAACGCTGCATATTTTACATGCCTCGTCCATGACAGGCCACTGGTGAAATATAGTCCCAAATATTTATAAAAGCCAATACACTCCAGCTGCATACCTTTATATAACCAGTTTTCCTTTTTTGACAATTTGCCTCCATTTTTGAATACAACAATTTTCGTTTTTTCTCTATTTCTTTTAGGTATATTTACTAAATATGTTTGTAAAGTAAGAAAATGAATTGTTCTATCTTATTTATTTCTGTTATGCTTTAAATGCTTCGTTTTTGCTTTTCACAACACAATCTGGTTAATGCTGATCGGTGTGTTGTAGCTGAAGCAATTAAGAACAATTAGTTATATCTGTTTATTTTTAGACCACATAGAGCTGTGTTTATAGCAATTTTATGGCTGAGCAAGGGTAATAACTTATTTGAGCAACATAAAGCTATTGATAAACTAGATATCAATGAGCCCAGTACATGTTGTTACCCCCTTGCTTCATTGTACTGTAAGCGTGCTGGCCCATGTCACTGTGTACAAGGCCAAGGTAGAACTTTCAGGTACATAGGACAATTTCTGTTTATAACCATGGTTTGATGCTCAAATACAATATGTCTTCAATATAGATGGTTGCCCCCATACCCCCATTCTCTTCCCACAGAGGTTACTCTTGTCATATCTTCCTACGTAACCTCTGTTCTAATACGGCCATATTTCCCGGTTCTCGTAAAATGCCCTAACGGCAAAAGATCGCAACACGAATTATCTCCCTTCTTTCTATCCAATCAGAACATGTGTTACATCGACTTAGATTCAACTTGACTAACACAAGCAAATGTGGGGCCACAAATATCCCCCATCTGCCGGGGACTTGTGTTGATGTTACACACAAGACGTTTAATGGCTAGCTTGTCTGTTGTCAACGGGGGCGATGGAGACGCCACTGATCTGCCATAACATGACTGAGTTCTGTCTAGAAGAAACGTTTGCGCATCGCGCAGGGGAATAGGTTTAGTTTTCTCGAAGCATACGGAAATTACCGAGGCCTTGCGAATGAGTCACTTTTGAAACAACGTCGCTGATTGCACAACTAAATCTGATTGCCTCCAATCACGAGTCTTGAACGCTCACACCATGAAAGGGCCGTATTAGAACAGAGGTTACGTAGGAAGATATGACAGGAGTAACCTCTGTGGGAAGAGAATGCCATACCCCCAACACCTCCCATTCCCTAAAACCCCACCCACACCACCCATACCCTCAACACCACCAATACCCCAAACACCACCAATACCCCAAACACCACCCACACCACCCATACCCCCAACACCACCAATACCCCAACACCACCCATACCCCCACCCCACTCATACCACCCCCACCCTCCTTCCCCAAACACACAGTAACACAAACCTACATAGTATGTTCATGTCACAGACATTAATCATTTGTTGTTTTAATTCTGCTGAATTCAGCAATATTACAGCTGAAAGCAAGTCAAATCATTTTTCCAATTCAGTTAAGGAATGTAACAGGAATGTGAAGTCAATAATGCTCAAACTAATAATCATTATCTTCCTGGTCCAGAGCAGAGAGATATTCTGAGGCCCGTGTTTCCCAGTGTATGATGGATACCAGCTGCTGAATACCACGATGCACGCTAGCCCCTCGCACCGCCGGTCTGGAATACCAGTCACGAAGAACATGCCCCACGTGACTGCCAGTATGCCTGGCCGTCACCAACACCGCAACATGACCGGGATCTATCTGGGGCTGGTAAGTCAACAGCAGGTACAAAACAGGGGAAGGGGATGCAAATGAATGTATCATCAATATTTATTCAATTTGTTGTTTATTGATATTTTTTTATTTAAATAATAAATGTTGTATCTGTGAGGAGGTCATGTTAGAAAATGCTAATGACAGAGTTTAGGGGGGTTCCCAAACCAAAGAATTTTCACTATAATCCACTAGTGGACCTTGAGGGCGACCATAATCTTAATTTCTCTCAAAATACATTTCTTGGACTGAAAACAACTCTCCTTTGAAAATACATATAAATCAGAAAAGTTGAAACTTCGCTTGCATGTTCCAGCCAATGATGACATCTGATTGTTCAAGACTTTTAGATCTGATGTTCACTATCTGCTATACACATGGAAAAAAGTATTGCAACACCCGATATTAATCATAGTATCAATGTTACCAGTAACATAGCAAGAGAAACTTATCCAAACCTCATTTGAACTTTCTGTCTGGATAAATTAACCCTCAAGGAATAATTAAAAGACAAATCTAAATGCAAAAATTTGATTTTGAGGTATCGCATTCCATTTCTGATGGAAGGCTTGTTCCAATACATCGAAGATTTTGTATTGTTGGATCTCTCTAGGGTATTCTGACCCATAATGTACCAAACATGCTCTGGTCTGAGATCTGGGCTGCTAGTGGCCAAGGTAGAGTAACACCTTTTGATGTTAAAAATCACCAATGCACATGCACAATGTGGCCTAGCATTTGTCCATTTGTGTCCATTCAGATTTTGTCTGATCGTCTTATGGTCAAGTATACATGTCATCTGAGAGGAATCCCCTACACCTTCAATGAGCCCCCATCAAACAGTACTTGCTCTCAGGACCTGACAATCAAGTGATTGACATCATGAGCATTGATCATTGCAATGGGGCCTATAGTTTAGTTATTTCTTCCATTCCCAGTTATTAATGTTTCCATGTTATAGACACATGTAGTTGGGTTGAAATGTAACCTGCATTTGATAGAGAGAAATAATTAAGGGATAAGAAACATCTGGATGGAATAAAAATGACAAGAATGTTGTGAAATGAGTTTCTGGGGAGTTACAGTCAATACAATATGACTGCCTGGAGATTTCATTCTCCCAGGACAGATAATTGTATATCGTCATAGCTCATTGGTTATTCTATATACAAACATTTTTAGAGAGATAATGCATGAAGAGATATTTTGGATGTCACCCCTACAAAGAAACTTCACTGAAGGCAACCTATTGTCCAGTTGACTAATTAATAAATTTGTGATGCCTTGAGCAGGGTATGACTTAAGTTTCTCAACAGTGAAGCACTGTGATGTCTGATGACTTTATTTGACTTATCAGCATATAGAAAATGCACAATCAATATTGGAAAAATATTACAATGGATCATTGTACCGTCACGGTATTATTTACTTTTAGTATCTTTTGTACCACACTCTTGACACTACTTCAAAATATTAGTGTGATGTGATGCAAAATAGATAATGATTGACTAAAATATCCTCATTTTGTATTAATGTTTAGGAAGGCAACATCAAGCCCCCTCAGTCCCAGGGTCCTGTCCCCCCACTGGCCAGAGGGCGTGGCTTGTCGTCAAGGATCCGGACCACAACAGAGGACAGGAGATATGTAAGTGTTGTGTCCCAACTGACGGCAGTGTATGGTGTATAACTGTGTATATTCTATAGCTAACATCTAGTGGATTGCAACATTGTAACACAGATGTGTCTAGAGTACTAACTGGATTGTTGTAGTAGAAGAAAGTGCTACCTTTGGATACAGATACTATGAAATATTATAAGAACATCTGAAAATTACCATGAAACATTTTATGATGATTGTTAATAAAGAAAATGAGTTGATATTCAAGGTAAGAAAAGTTGAAAAGTAAATGTTGACTGAAAGTAGATATTTTCATAGATCTTTTGACTATTGATAGTATCATGGCAGCAGATTGTTCACCTTTATGTAACACCTAGCATCATCACTAATATAGTCAGAATCATATAATAGACTCATATATAGCAGAGATTTCTTATGATTCAGAGAATGTTTTTATGGGTTTCTATGTGTGACTAATACTGAGTACTGGATACTGAGTACTGGATACTGAGTATAGTGACTGTTTGTCTTCTGCTGTAGTCCCAACTGGAGTACGAGAAGAAGGTATGCACAGAGTGATGCTTGCTCTCACTAACACTAACATCACTTGTATCAATGTATATCATTGTATGATTATTGTATTCAACAGTCTCCTCACAGTTATCAACATAGCACAACATTCAGTGTTCATGTCATCTTAAATGCACAGGTTATGTGTATAGTGTTCTAGGTTCTCAGGTCTGGGTATCCTAGGACACTTGTTACATTGTCCTAGATTCACAGGTTATGTGCATAGTGTTCTAGGTTCTCAGGTACAGGTATTCCTAGGACAAAGTTTACAGTGTCCTAGATAGATTCATGGGTTCTAGGTTCTACAGGTTACTTACATTGTCCTAGATTCACAGGTTGCAGTGTCCTGGATTTATTTGCTAGAAGACTCTAGATACTCAGGTTATAGTCGATTAGATTCACAGTTTACATTGTCCTTGACTCACAGGTTACAGTGTCCTAGACTCACAGGTTACAGTGTCTTAGACTCACAGTTTACACTGTCACAGACTCACAAGTTACATTGTCTTAGACTCACAGTTTACAGTGTCCTTGGCTCACAGGTTACACTGTCCTAGACTCACAAGTTACAGTGTCCTTGACTCACAGGTTACAGTGTCCTTGGATCACAGGTTACAGTGTCCTAGACTCACAGGTTACATTGTAGTAGTTTAACAGGTTGCGGTGTCCTTGACTCACAGGTTACAGTGTCCTACATATTCAGGTTAAATTGTCCTAGATTCACATGTTACAGTGTCCCAGATTCGCTTGATAAAATACCCTAGAAACTCAGGTTACAGTGTCCTTGAATCACAGGTTACAGTGTCCTAGAATCACTTGTTACAGTGTAACAGATTCACTTGCTAGAGTGTCCCCGATTCACTTTCTAAAAACTCCTAGATGCTCAGGTGTTTGTCTGCTAGATTCACTGTTTACATTGACCTAGTGTCACAGATCAGAATGTCCTAGATTCACTTGTCACAGTGTCCTAGATTCACTTGTTACATTGTCCTAGTTTCACAGATCACAATGTCCTAGATTCACTTGTTACAGTGTCCTAGATTTCACCTTGTTACAGTCACCTAGATTTACTTGTTACAATCTCCTAGATTCACTTGCTATAAGACCCTAGATACTCAGGTTATGATGTCCTAGATTCATAGGTCACTATGTTCTAGATTCACTTGTTACAGCGTCTTATATTCCAGTTGTTACAAGGCCCTAGATTTAGTTATCACAGGATCCTAGATTCACAGTTACAGTATCCTATAATCATGTTACAAATACTATCTACACACAGACTTCCATACCCTTTCAGTCAATGGTTACATCTTAAAGATTCATATATTATAAGCCCTCTTTGGAAATGCAGAGGTCTTTATAAAATATGCATGTTTTACTTTGCATATTTTCTTGTGTATGAATCACACATTTTTCTCCATAAGCTGTGTGGAAGGATATGTTGGTAAGACATGCATACAAAGAGTTTCTGTTATTTCCTATCAATGCAAAGCCCTTACAATGGGGATGTAATCCTGGAAATAGCATACTGTATTAAGCAAAGTACTCCTGTGATTTCATGATCTATAGTGAAAAGTGTTGGGTTGTGATCAATTTCATTAATTGTTTTTAAAATTACATTTAAAATTGTTTGGCAAAATTGTGTGAACTTGCTGGCAAATGTCACTGACTCACAACATTTACCTTGGAACATTATTTGACTTACCTGGTAATTGAGGTTTATATATACAACCTAATTTATGAGGTCATTAAAAACAGTAATCGTAATGCCTGCACATAATGACAGACCTAGCAGAACAGGAAATACAATTAAAAGTGAAAATCTTCATATCTAGTAATATTTTATTACTAATATCAGACTTGTTATCTTCTTTTTGTTCACCTGATAGTTGATGTTGTTTATGCTTGCCCCAAATATACAAATTTTCCCATACACTTGTACTCAATAATAGGACATGGGCATTATTCTCAAGTGAGCACTATACACAAGAAATATGACACTAAGGGCAATATGAACAAATATTTATATTGCATGCATGATGATATACATAATATTCAACATCTGTACAACACATGTATATATTGTATATATTTGTTGACATAAACCTGTGTGTAACTTATCTGTATCCATAAGCATGTGTACAACACATGTATATATTGTTTATATTTGTTGATATAAACCTGTGTGTAACTATCTGTGTCCATAAGCATGTACCCTATTATATTCCACAGCACAATAATATATTATTGTATTTGCTAGATCAGTCTTGGAAGCATGTGTGTCTGCATATAGATGTTTTGTTCATGCATGTTTTTTGTGTTTGTGTATCCGCACATGTTAGAGATAGTGTGTACATGTATACAGAGATAGTGTGTACATGTATACAGAGATAGTGATTTCTTCATACGACAGAAGTTAATCTGTCATGTCGCTGAAGAATAAGGTGGTCTTTCCTTAACATTTTTTGAGTAGTACATGAGAATACCATATACAGTGTACTCTGTCAATACCGGCATCAGTCGGGACCAAGTAAAAATGCCGGTTTTGACAGAGTGCGGTTTTATTAAATTTCAACTGATCATATATTATCGGCAGAATTAAAATTATAAACTATTTTTTCGCAATGTTATTGCAAACAACGATTCTTGTTTATGCGCTTTGGCAGCGGGTCTACAATAGCATTGTCAAAGAGCAAAGTAATAGCGATGTTTCACCAAACATCGAGGAAATCATTAAATAAATTGAAATCAACAACAACATTCATAAAAGTTGTCAAACGCATATATAAAATTACTATTTCCATACTTTTTGTGCGATCATGCAATGTAAGTCAAGTCACTGACAAGTTACATCTCGGCTTTCACACGATGCTTAATGTGAAAAAATATATGGCTTGAAGCATTTTTGGTCATAGGCCATAACCTAGCGATATGTCCAATACGCTCCATAATTCACACGATAGGTAGCGATGTCTTTCTTAATATGTTCAGAATAGCATTATTTTACCCAAAAACTTTCGTCTTAATCTAAAAGCTTCCGCTTTAATGAGGGCGGTATCCATTTCCATAATATGATTGGTTGCTTAGGTCAACGTGTCTGATTTTGACCAATCACACGACCTTATAAGCAGAGATTAGTGTAGTGAAAAAGCGTGGTCTAGAAACCAATCTTTATCCAATAAAAATCGCTACTTACAAATGTGAAAATACTTTCGGCAAGAGTACAGTGATATTGTTGATGTTCAGAGCTTTTCGAGCGATACATGCATATCAAGCGATTATGCCTCTATGTAAGTGACCACGTGTGCCAATCACTAATTAACAAGAAACGGAGTGACACTTCCGGTTTCTGAATAATCTAGGAGTCAATACCCGCGAATCAACAAAATGTAAACACTTGCTTGTTTATACAGTCAAACTACCCACTACATGTACTAATTACTCTGGGTAAGTGTTGCGTACCCACTCACCTACTGATTAACAAGATACTGATTAACACTTCCCCGTTTCTGAATAATCTCTCGAGTCACAGCGAATTGTTGTTACATCATTTGGACCTAGTTACATCAGAAAGGATTTACGCCGTCTTTCCTATGTGCTGGTTTTACAGATTCACGTTTTTCATAACAACTTGTTCGTTGGGACTGAAAACAATGCCGATATCCTGAATAGACAGATGCCGATGTTTACAGAAGTTTCTAAATGATAATAGCGATGCATTTCTGCCGGGACTGAAACTTTGTGCCGATGTTAAGTACATGTAGATCCATCAGTACCTGTGTGAGAGAATTGCATGTTTAGACTCTTGAGCATTATTTAAGTACAGGTGTTTCATAATTACAGGTGTTGTACAAAACAGTTAAGGGTAAATTAGTCAATTTCAGAATACAGTATTTTTTTATCTGATCTTAGTTATTTAAAAGAGGGCAGTGATTGTTAATCCACAATTTTCTGAAAACTATCATACAATAATCATTGATTCAAAACACTTAGTTTCTTTACCCTAACTGCTCAAGCAATATATTTTTAATATTATCTCTAAGTTTTCATGAGTATGAATAATTTTATGATTATGTTTATAAATATGTAATTACTCAGATGGTTGGACATCTGTATTTATTAGTAGCTTTATTAGAGTTTTGAAAAGAATTCCATTTATATCACAGCATGTCAGGTTATGTAATGTGCAACGTAAACTTGAAATGATGAAAGTTTTAGACATTTCCTAAAATCATGGGCATGGTGCAGACAAACCCAGAAACATGATAGGGTTGAACCTGGATTCAAACCCAGGATGATCAGTTTCAGGCATGCCAACTTCACAAGGCGGCCAGTACACATAAGCCTGTGCATGTGTAAAGGGATTTTAACAAACAAAAGTTTTTATAAACTTTACAATGAAGATGTCTTTATAAAATAACCTTCAATCATTCTCATTCATTCTACCTCATCAATGT